CGACTAACACCCACTTTATTCGTCACGAAGACATTTACACCTCACCTGGTCAAGACCGTTACGCCCTCTATGATTGCCAATTCTGGCCATGGCCCACAGCTTCCGACGACGAACCTCTCTTTGTCGTTGACTCAGGCTTTACCAGTTTCGTGCTGTCCCTGGTGCCTCCCCCCCGACTAACACCCACTTGATCCGGTGGGAAAGGAGAGCGAGTTCAAACATGACGCTGATGTTGGCATAAGTGCGGGCTCCGGATACAAAGACCTCAAGGTCGAGTTGGGTGGGAGCCAGGCGATCGACGCGCTAATGACGGGGAAGACGCCTGTTCTATCCTCGCTGTTTGGCGCTCCGTCCAGCAGGAGCTGCTTTCGCATCGTCTGAATTCTTGCGCTTGGGGTTATGCTAACCCGGCGCAACCTTTATTAATCGCCGCCGGCGGATTCGGGATTGTAAAGGTGGTTGAGGTGCTCTCAGGCAAGAGTCTCTCTTGCGCTTGGGGTTATGCTAGCCCGGCGCAACCTTTATTAACCGTCGCCGGCGCATTCGGGATGTAAAAAGTGGTTGAGGTGCTCACAGGCAAGAGATGCATATTAGTCAATCCGTCGCCGACGTTCTTGACCCCGGCTACTCGCGGGCTAGGGGGATGGCTAACCTCGGTGACTCTTTGGATTCGGGAGATGCCACACTCCAGAGCACCTCGGCACGTAAAGGCCTCGAAGATCACGCCTCGAACAAACACGGCAAGAAATATGAAGAGTGTTTCTAGCCGACAGCATCGAATCAAATAGAGACTCACTGTGAGAGATTGGTGATGGCACGGCAGTGAATGGGACGCGCTCCGAGAAATGACACAAGTGGGTGGTGAATATTGAAACCGCCGTTGGAAACGAGCACAATGCCACGAGGCTTCTCTGCGATGCAACCAGACAAGAGCTGACGAGAAAGACTGACGCTGCGTTTGTTAGCGAGGGAGTTGGAGGACGTCTGGGCTGAACTCGACTCAACTCTCCGTCCCTCATCAGACTTCTCGTCGAGAATCGTGCTGAGAGAAAGGTCGATCTGACTGGCGAATTGCTCCTTGACACCACGGGCTTTGCAACCCCCAGCTTCCTCAGTTTTCAACGCTTTCTCCCCATCAATCACAACATTCCCAGATCACAATGTCTCTATCCAAGCTTACCTCTCCCGGCACTACTCTGGAGGAAGTACTCGGTTTGCTTCTTACCCGTCTCCATGAGGTGCGAAAGTAGGAGCAGCGTCGCTCTTCACGGCTGGAGCACGACTATCGTGTTTGGCAGACGCGGACGCTTTGACAGGACAGGAAGTGACCTGGACCCTCTGCATCGTGGGCTACGTCAACAGGATACCCGTGGACTTTTCATACACCAGTGATAAAGGTCTCCCGCAACATCAATTCAAGGCCATGGATGACATGCTCGACATGCATGGGAACGCTTGCCTACGCTTTGCCTTCGTGACGCTTCCCACGACGGGGCAACGCATCGTGCTTGATCCCATCAACATCGCCCGAGCGGTAAACGACGAGATGGCGGTACGGGCGTGGCATCGGCGTAGTATCACCATGGACGGAGCAGGAGAGTCGGGATCAGTACAGCCGCGACACTATGCTACTCGATGAGATAGTCGCCGGAACAGTGCTGGACGCTGCCGCCCTCGCAACTCCTTTTCACGGCCACGAGAGAGAATGAACCGAGTGCTTGATAGGCGCGCGTGACGTCTTTCAATCTTGGGGCGATGAGGCGTGGGCGACTTGAGTCAGGTGTTTGCCTCTCAGTCTAGGTTCAACAGGCAAAGATTCCTCGACCCAAAGCAAAGCTAAAGTGAAACGAGTCAGCGAGTATCCATATGACTCGGATGTGAAAAGAATGTCTACTGTGTCCGAAGACCTCAAGACAAGGGAACAAATTGTTTTCACCAAGGGTGCAGTCGAGCGTGCTCTCGATGCGCTACTCTCTACAAACTGGAAAGAGATCATGACCAAGATCTATATGGTGGAACGAAAGATGAAAGAGAAAGAGGAGGAGAGAGGGCGTAAAGAAAGAGAGCGTGAGGAGGAACAGCATCAAGAGAAAGAGCGTCAAGCGGACGAGGAGCTTGGAGTCAGCAAGGAAGAGTCTGGAGTGAAGAGCGATGAAACACTCATGTCATTACATTGAATTGGATCCGAGGATCTGTCTTGATTGATATCTTGGGCTCATCCATGGCAGCAATCGACAGACGACCAAGGGGCGCCTTTTTCCCCTCAAAATGAACCACCAGTCCTCTATCGAGCTCGATTGAAAAGAGAACCAGGTCTCAAGGCACGACGTGGAAGAGATAATACGACACGTCAAGGACCAACTAACAGAGATCCGCGGCGCCCCGAGCGTCCAGATGAAACACATACCGCAAGACATTCAGGGTTTGAGGGATGAAGTCGAGGAGGAATTGAAGACCAAGCGGCTAGACAAGGAGGAAAAGGCGGAAGAGAGAGACGGAGCTGGTGGCCTTGTGGGAAAAGCAAGGAGGAGGAGAGAGCTGGAGAGAATGGGCGACGTATGAGACGAGCTGAAATGGACATCAAGACTACGAGAAGATGCGGAAATGGATACTAGTCACGATCTGTTAATACGAGGTGGCTATTGAACCAGGGGTGGGCAATGCAGGAGCAGGACAAAATACGAAACACGGGTCATCGATGCTTGAGCTTGCACAGGGAACGTAAAGACGGCCAGTCAGCACTTCCTTTGCCTGCGCTTGCTCATCAACAATGTCGAGCATAATCCATCCATTTCCATTCGAGGAGTGCCAGGTGTCTCAGACGTCCTTCTAGCTGCGTGGACACGCAGTGGGAACATGAAGGACGACCACCATCACATCGAGACTTTCTCTTGCGACACGTGTCACACGCCAACTCTGTCTTGTTGCGTTTTTGGACGGCTGTGGCGGTCGCTTGCAACAAAACGGCGGGAACAAGGACGGCGGTCGTGTTATCGGTGCAGGTGCTACAGTGATAGCTGGCCTCTCCTGGTTTGTAAATGTGCCCACACGGATGGCCTCTGGCTGCTGCACTATCCTGGGCCTTCTCTTGTACTCCTTGTACATCTCGCAGCTTGTATGAGGGAGGGAAGCCCTCTGGGAAGAGGTCGTGCAAGTAATCGGCTCGGTCATTGGTCAGGGCGCGAAAAATGATCCTGTCACGAGACAGTCAGAAAAGGTGAAAGCAGAGGATAGATGAAAGAGTGAATAGTTCATACCAATTGAGTCCCTGACCCTGTTTTCTAACTTCGTGTCTCGGACCTCAATCTTCAGTGAACCTCCCGTCCATTCGTTCCCCGACAGAATTTGTCGGGGCCTTTTGATCAGCTCCCACCACCCGCCAAGGGCAACGAAACAATCGAAAGATCAATATAGATGTCGCAGACTTTAACCCCATTAAGAGAGAAGTATTCAAGAAGAATGGAAAATAAAAAGCAACAGGAGACAATGGGAAATCCATGTCCCGGGACGGAGGGTAGTACGTCTCTTTGACTCGTGTTGCCCTACGCCTATTGGGAGGGTTAGCCAAATAATTTCCACCGCGGCAGGCACACAACAAAGTCGCAGGCGCGCTAGATAGATTTCCTTGCTTAATCAATCAATCAAGGTATTCCACTTACAATATTCACGTTGGAGGACATGAATATGGGCCGTATTCGCATTCATTTATTCATTTCGGATGTCACGAATACCATGTGACAGTGCATACTCAGGCCAGGCCACCAGTCAGGCCGCCAGCCAAGCGCTGGCTTACCGCATGTATATAGCAGGAGGGATCACGCCTGTCAACCTTGAAGCTCTCTTCAAGCGTTGACATCTCTATCTATAGGCTAGTTATTCTATCATTATAGGTCCCATAGTACACATATTCACCCTCCAGTTAGGTAACTGGTCTGATATCGGAGCCCTAACCACCGCCTTGCTCCCGAAGAGTCACGTCTCGGCCTTTTACATCTCACACTGTAAGCAACGCTTTTCCTGCTTTGAATATGCAAGTCCGAACGAATGAGCCACTGACGTCACACCCTCTTCGGAGGTTCGACTGGCCAGGACATTTCGCCGTATACCTCGCATACCAAAGCTCAATGGCTAGTGATCACAATGTGAACAAGTTGATGGATCCCACAGCTCTCAGAGGTGTATCATCTTGGGATCGAGGGACATCCTCGTCCGTCGAAGCTGGTGAAGATAGAACCTGGTATGTCTGCCAGGATATCTCTCTCAGTAAAGCTCCAATTTGTTGATTCTCCTTGTCCAGTTCCCGACGAGTCGGTCGTTTATGATGATCGAGATCTCTATGCCAATCAGACCACTCAGAGTCAGCGGCGTTCAATTTCGATGGGGATTTACTGAGAACTCTGATATCGCGTGCCATCTTTCTGTTCGACCAACATTCCTCCTTGCAGAGACGAAGATCTATGGGGTGGAATGATTCTAGCTTCACCGGATTGGGTTGCTTCTTTGATCGATTTCGGCCACTCTGGTTCTGTGTGGATATAATACGACCGTCTGGCCGCCGGAACTCATCTCCATCTCACGTCAGAACAATTGAGCAAGATTCCTCCCATACGTCTTCAACTGCGACAACCTGGTGACGAACCTCGTCGCCTCGCGCCACACGCACGCCAAAATGCTCGCCTTTGCAACCCACCACGACGTCAAGCCGCTAATCACCTCCGCTTGCTGCGGCCGGCATTGTTTCCACTGCACCATGGCGACCCAATCCCAATCCTCCACCACCGTGCTTGGCCAGATAGTCGGAGTCTCTTCCAAAATTTGTACACGTTGTTTACGAGTGTTCCAGGACTTGGATAGGGAGTGTGGGAACCACGATGAGGAATAAGAGAGTGAGAAGAAGGAATGAGGGACTTACCTGAAGCCCTTTGGACATCCGCAACACCCCAACCGCTCATGATGACAATGAGAATAGGCAGGATCTTGGGCGGGGAGTCTACCTTCCGAACAACATTTGAGGCTCGCCAGAATGATCTGCCTCAGGCACAAGCATTACTATCAGGAGGAGCCCCTCGACGCCATCAGCCACCTGCTCCCCCGGCTGGGACCGGCCTACCGTCCTGGCCATCTACATCGCTGGACTGGGCATGAAAGAACACGCCTTGCACAGCTCCAGTGATTCCAGAACATTGGGAGACAAAGGCGTATGAAAAGGTCGACTTGTCGACTTGCTAGGGTCAATCAATCTGGACATCCCAGAGATAGAGCAGAGCCTGCATGGACGACTCTCACCGACACAAGCTGAAGCATTGAATGCCTGACTGTGGCTGACCCGAAATGCCTTCTTCCACGGTCAAGCTCGTCGAGTATTTGTTCACACGTCTTCGTCAGCTCGGAGTGCGCTCCATACACGGCGTCCTCGCGTGGTGGCTCAGCGGCAGCGCAGTATACCGAGATCGTGGCCTCTGCTGCTAGAGGTATCATCATAGCCACCCAAGGCTTCAGACGAATCTTGTACAGGTCTCGATGCCAGGAGAAAAGAAGCAGACGCAGCTATTCAAAGTCCTTTTGAATTGAGGAGGTGGGATCATGATACGAAACCAAGCAAACCGGGACCGGGACTGGGACTGAGGGTGGCGGTGCTGTGTCCTAGCTCGTTAGGGCTGTTGCTATTGTTCACATGGCTGGGCTTGATCTGGCTGGGCCATCCTGTCCTGCTGGTCGCTCCGTCTCCGCTCTCCTCAGTACCTTTCTCCTGAACGGGCATTCCTGGAATTCGATATGATTTCTCCTTCGCGATTCTCGACCATTTTGCGATGATAAGTCCAGATGGCGGTTTATCTGGGTGGTGGGACCCTGGCGCGGTTCCAAGTCCCGGATGCCTTCTTCTTGCATCTTGCGGCAGCATTGGATGGCGTATTCGAGTTGGACTTTGTGCTCGAACACCTCAATCATCCTCTTGTCCTCCAGCCACAGGTCCTGGGGGTTTTCCACTGGTTGAGCGCCAATTCAATACCACAAACCGAACACCGTGTGACTCCATCAACACAGAGCCTCAAAAAGATCTACCATGTCAGAGACTGATCGGCTTGCAAAGGTCCATCGGGGAATAGCAGAATGGCCCAACTGGTCCGTTCTCCTCGTGGTCGCATTGTGTCCACAACCCAAACACACCTCCGGATCTCACGCCTCCTGGCTGGACGCCTTCCAGCTGCCCCTGGTTCGCGATGGAGACCCATCTGGTTCGGCTTGACGACGACGAGCCTGAACCTGAACTATCATTTGACTTTGATCGATTTTTGGAGCAGCTTCGACATATATCCGTCTACGCAGTGGCACGAGAGTCCCAGTCGACTCGGCGACGACGTATTCTTGCTCCGTGCGGCCTTGGAGGATGTTGAATACCCAGTCGAGACGGCCCGCCGCGCGTTGACTAGCCAGGCTATGTACGGCCTTGTGTGCGTGGCGTAAATGTGCGGTGTCTCCGTGACGATGGGCACACGCAGCGCCGAGTATTTCCGTATATGCTGCGGTCCCTGTCTCTCCCCTTTCTCTCCCAGACGAACCGCCACATGCACCGTCTCCCTCAACCCATGGGTCATTTCCGGTCTACCAAAGGCGGCAGGCAAAATTGCAGTGAAGAAGAAGTGGGAGAGCTTCGAGGTTGACAAGAAGTGGTCAGAGTCGCCATGGGCAAAGAAGAGAAAACAACAGGACACTACACCGCCGATGGTAAGCCGTGGCGCCTCATCTCCTGTAGCTCCTCCCCATGTCCGCCCAAGAGCGCGTCGAATACGAGCTGCGTCCGAGTCTTCAACATCTGCTTCCAAACGGAAGGCTTTGATTGAGCCTTGTTCAGCCATCACATCGGCTATGAAGCCAGAGCCTTGGCGGTTGAGAACCGCCGTGTGGGTAGACAGGGATACGCGGTTTATGCGAAACAGAGATCGGATGGATCGTCCAGACTAGACAGCCATTCACCACGGTCGAGCACCCGAGCTGCAAAGCAATGTTTAATGGTACCGCCGTCGAGGTGCCTCTGAGAGGTGCCGACACTCTTCGTGATCGCGTCAAGCACGAGTTTGAAGATTATCGGCTGGGATTGAAGCGGGAGCTTGCCGAAACCCGCGACAACATTGCCATTGCTCTTGACACATGGACGTCGGAGCACTAATCGAACCATGTGCGACACGCTCTACGCGGAGATGTCGAACCTGTACGATGACGAGGACGGGGATTTTTGCCTGCAGCCGCTGATGCGGTTCGTTCCATGGCCGGGCCAGCTTTATTCGATACCTGCCTGGCACACATCATACATCTCATCCGCAAAGATATCTTGACCCAGCTGGGGGTCGGATCGGTCAAAGAAGCAAAGGCCACGCTCGACCAGGCGAGTGCATCGAGAAGCGGGTGGCAGTCCGAACCGCGAGGCTGTGGTGATGATCCTCATGCTGGTGCTCGCAGACAGTCTCGCGATATACTGGATTCTGGATGAGCTGCTCACTGATGTCAGCATGGCGCAGGGCGATTTCCAGAATATTCACGCGTCGGTGTAAGAGGCGGCCCAGCATGCGCTCGAGAAGGCAGAGTTCGTTCGCAAGATGGACGAGGATGTCTTATACTATGTGGCGATAGTCTCAGATCCGCATATCAAGACCTCCTTGATCCAGGCAGATCCCTGAGAAGATTGTTCGTGATGTATCTTGCTCAGCGAACATGGGGTACGAGCGACTGGATACCAACCGATCAGCTGGCAGGCATTTTGACTGGGCTGACATTGGCTTCTGAGAACGGAGTCTTCCCTGCGGTGAATCCCGCGAAAATCTCCTGTCTGAAGCTGCTGCCAACGGTCCAAGAGGAGTTGTCTGGCGTCAAGGTTTCGTCTTATGAAGATTGGCTACAACTGTTGAAAAGCCGCGCGGGTTCTGAAGTTGATGCTGATGCAGTCAGGCGACACCCTGGGTTGAAACTCACCGATTTCTATGAGAGCCTGCTGCAGGACAAGCCAAGTGCCAGATTATCATCCCTATGAGATCTGTTGAGATCTGTCCAACATTCGGCAAAAAACCTTCTGCTCGACAGACACTAACTCGCAAGTATGGCATCTTGGCTTCTTGACACCGAGCTGCCTGCAACCAACCTCGAGGTCTCAAATGCGGTCGACATAGCAGGATCTTTCATGGTTCGTGCCGTTTCATTTGACTGTTCAGAGGCTCGAACTCACGCACTCATGAGATTCAGTCATTTGGTCTCCTCATCATCCTGCGCCATTCAGTATGGCCTCTTATCCAGATACCTCCTCACCTGCGATGCCCGAGGATGTTGCAGTAGTCGGCCTTTCTTGTCGCTTCTCTGGAGGTGCAACCGATCCTTCAAAGTTTTGGGACTTGCTCTACGAGCGTAGATGTATGTGCTGCGGACTCTGTCATGCTACTGCCTGATGTGGTGCTAATCTTCAAGCAGCCGTATATTTCAAAGTCCCCCGTGATCGATCCAATGCCGATGCTTTCCACCATGCATCAGGGGAAAAAGCGCACACTCTGCGGACCGCAGGCGGCCATTTCCTGCGATGTGACGCAGCCCATACACCATTTTTCGGCATCACATCCAACGAGCCCAAAGCGAGTGATCCTGCCGCGCGCATGCTCCTCCAGCTTAGTCGGGCTGCATCTTGCGTGCCAGGGCCTGCGATCAAGAGAATCAACAGTGGCAGTGGTTTCGGGCGCAAAAAGATGGAAAACTCTACATTGGATCTGTAAAGTCAAACATTGGTCACACTGGAGGTGCCGCTGGCATTGCAGGGGTCATAAGAAGTATCCTGAACATGGTGCTTCCGATTCAACCTATTCCTTGGCCACCTGGAAGCAAATGCTCTTCCTTTTCAGCGCACAAAGCAAACCTGCCTTGGAAAGAATGCAAACGGTGTACCAAACTTTATCTCGCCACACATCTCAGCCGAACGAATCAGTCAATCAAAGATACCTCGAGAGGCTGGCTTGACACTCTCACCACATGGAGCTCATCGCAAGCAAACATCTCTATTCGATCTTGCACACCAAACCCAAGAATTCTGCTGCCGCGTCTGATCAGGTCGTCATGGCGTCGAGTGTTACCGGTAATATCATACAGCATGCGGATCTTGGACCAGAGTTACCGGACACAGCATATGGACTCGAGAGCGTGCTCTGTCTGCACAAGCGAATGGACTGCTGGTTCGATTTCTCCGTACAAACATGCGAGGAGAACGAAGATTTAGTCGAGAATGCCACTGGTCTCGTCGGGATCTGCTATCAGCGTTAAAACGTTCCGGGTGACGAGCGTTGGAGCAAAGACAAGAAACGATGACACCTTGGACCTCATCGTTGTGACGCCTGATCAAGCCCCTTATCTGTAGGGAGGATCCTTGTTGAACATCGTTATGGGCTTGTTACGGGAGCACGGAACATTGGTGGTGATGGAAACGTGGCGACAGCAAGGCACGAACATCTAAGTCCTACAGCACACCTGGCTTGAACCAACCATTGACAAGTACTCGTAGAGTCTGGAGAGACCCCTTTGCGGCCACAGCTCCCTCTCCAACAAGCCGACGACGGAGATCGAGCGCAGCATCTGGTGCTTCCATGCGAAATCGACGATGCTCAAGCGTATCATTCGGCGACGACGAGGAGTCTTTCGATGAAGCATTGAGCATCGCAACTAAGCTGGTCCCTGAAACAGAGTTGACCCAGCTCGAGACCGTCTACGTACTCCAGCCAGCGAATGAATGTGCCGAAGTTACCGAGGTGTGCGAGCTCACATGTGGTCGACTCGTCGCATCAGGACTAGCAGCTCAAACTGTGAGCTGGCCACCCAATGTCAAAGACCCCGAGCCAAAAGCTGTGCTGTGTCTACTCAAAGTCGAAGAGTCCTTCTTGACGGACATCTCGGCGACAGACTTTGACGTCTTACGCAAGGTGCCAAACATCTTGCGCTGTTGGCACGATCTGGACCAGGGTCTCCCAACGCAAGCGTCCTGGTGGATGAACTCATCAAGACTGGTGTCATGACCAAGGTCTGCACCTGCGATGTGTCGGACAAGATTGCAATGATCAAGGTTATTGCAGATTGTACTGCTGAGCTACCTCCTATCAAGGGTGTCATCCAGAGTGCGTCGGTGCTACAGGACTCGATCTACGAGAACATGACCCACGATCGGTGGAGCACCAGCATCTGACCAAAGGTGCACGGCTCAATGCTCTTGCACGAACTGCTCCTTGATGGCCGTCGAGATCCGCACTTGGGTCTCGCAGAAGCTGAAGGCCGAGATCACCTTGTTTGAAGTGGCGCATAAATCTGAATTTCCCAGCGAAAAACAACACAGAAGCAGTGGGGCCCGATGTCATTGTAATAATTCTATCAATGTGGATTTCTTTTCCAGAGACCTAGCAAGACGATGCTGTGCCAGCCACTCTTCCTTTGTCCCTGCGGCCTCTCCTATCCATCCTCCCTGTTCAACTCCACCAGCCGTCTAACGATCAAACAACCCCCCATCATCACTCACCGTTCCGCCAGGCGAATCAATTCTCCTCCTAAGCTTATCATTCAACAACGCTCTCAACCTCGACGCCAACATCCCAATCCTCGCTCATCCTTTCAATCTTGGCCATCTATCGATAAGAACCCTTAACTCCGACGTATCTACCTCGATCACTCCGCTAAATAGTAGATGATGTCAAGGACAACATCATCACTCCAAGAATCCTCCGATCGAGCCTCTTTCGAACATACAGTTGCCGCCTCTTCAATGTTCTGGACCGATATCCAGAAGTCTCGGATCTCGGAGAGCGAATGGCGATGATCATCTTGCCATTTAACATGATCCAAGTTTCGTTGGGCAACAGGATAGCCCTCCAAATCCTCCCACACCTGCAGCCTTCTTTATGAGATCAGGAAGTTTCCAATCCTCGTCTGTGAACGTCCTTTTATCCTCATGAAACGTGACTTGGAGGTACATAATAGTGAAGTCTGCTTTCCGTTTCGTTAGGCCGTGACTTTGGCTGGAAAGTTTTACTCCTGCTGGATTTCGATGGAGAGACCATGAGGGAATCGACGAAAGAATACTGAGGTCTCGGCGTTGAGTCATCTTCGAGGTCTTAGACATCAGACAATCATATCGCAGATAAAATGGACCAAACTCACCCCGACCAAGAGGAGACTCGCCCGAGCCAACACCAAGAAGACACTTTTTCGGCGAAGGAGTTCAACTCATCGTACTTGCACACTCTGGTGCTCTCTTGCGTTTCTTGGATAATTCCTCTCTTTGTGTCGCCGCTTGCACAGTTCGCGACTAACAGTTCCTGAGAATAGTAAAAGGTTCTCGGATTGAAGGAGTACAGGAGTTATAGTTGAGCCGTTCAAAAATCCTTGTTGATGCACAGTCAACACATTCACCAGGCATCACGATAGTGTCACTTCCTCCAACCCTTGCTTGAAACGTTTCAAGCCATAGTGCGGACAACGAGGGGATGATGTAGGAACTCCAAAGAAGTTCATGAGGGAAACCTTGGAACCCTTTGGCAACGCGTAGCTTGGCAGATATTTACATTCCAAGCCCATATTCTCCGAAAATTGTCCTTAGGCTTCGAGGAACAGCAAGTGGCGGGCTACGTTGCTGGTCGATGGAAGGGTCCTCCAGGCAGTAGCTTTGGTCTGGGCGGTAGCCCCGGGGGCGTTGGCACCTATAACCGAGCTGGTGAGCACGGAACTTGGGCCCTTCCGAGCATGCGGAACACTAAAAACTAAGGAACCCGGCCATATTATGGGCACCTGAACAGCTCACGGGCTGTGCTCACGATGCTCAGGCGCACCTCGGGGCTCGCTAAAGCCGTGCTCAGGATTGCACCGCCACGCCTCAGAATGGCTTAGTTATAGGTCAGGCTAAATGGCGGGATACTCAGGTCCGGAAACGGAAATGGACTTTGGAGAGGTCAAGATTCGCAGCTGAGTACATCTGTAATAGGCGATGTCGTGGATAACATCCGGTAAATAAATATATAGAACAAGATGGCGAGATCAGTTGCAGATCTTTGCTTCGCCGGGTGACTTGGACCAATCTCCCGACTTCCGGCAAACGTATGGCATCCCTGACCCTCAGGGTGTTCAGTGGAGCTCAAGACCCCCTGAATCTCCCACGGCAGTCGATGAACGCCGACACCATGCGGTCGTTGGTTCTACTCCAGGGCCACTACGACTCTCGCATGTACATAGATGAGAGATCTAAACGGGGACGTGTACATTAGCGGAGGAGCTGAGACACTGTGCCGCAAAGTCAATACTATTGTGAACAGACGTCATTGGATTTTCCACGCTCCTACTAGCAAGGGGCGGAGGAATGTGGCAACGCGTCGCTGCGCGCTGCGAGTCTTGTTGTCGATCGTCTGGTATGTACATACTGGTTCTCAACCAACCAGCGATGTAAGGGGGTTGGTATGACCCTTAACTCTATTTGGAATGTTAGCCGAAGAATGTCCACCGCATTACACAACAACAAATCCGCAGGTACCTAGATAGATTTCAGTCCTCTTCCATTCCAGGCAGACAGACCGACCTTTATCTTACCCACCTTCACCAGATTACCTACCTACCTACCTGCTCCGTGCCTACGTGCCCACCCAGGGCAGATTACAATCCCCCCTTGACTCTACCGATCCTCCGTCATCGTCAGCCTGCCAGTACGCCTACGACATTGATCAACGTACGCAGCCATGGACAGCCGCCAAACAAAGCCGCCCCCAGACTTCGAGTCCATCGATGGTGCCTTAGCGCATCGACGTGTGTCAGGGTTATTTGGCTTCAGCAACGAGGAACAGCTGCAGCAGCACATGCTCGATCACCCTATCACGCCCCTATTGGATGGAAATACGGCCCATACACCACTGGAGTCCAACTTCGCGCATTGGACTCCGCCTCTGGACGCCAGGGGCATGCCCCGGATCCCGAACAGTATTTGGAAACTCGACGGTCTGAACAGTCCAGCTGGGCCGTGGAACCAGGGCAGGGAAGCATGGGGACCCAATAAACGCGCGAGGGAAGAAGAAGAAGATGCATCCCAGGAGCATTTGATCGAGGGCCTCGAGGGCCTAGGCCTAGGGATAGACATGGCCGACGAAGGCGGCTACGACGGAGAAGGCTATAAAGAAAACCTCGAAGACGACTTGGACGAAGACGATGATTCGGAGAACGAAACATTCCCCGTGCACACTGATCAGTCACGGATCATCCCCGAGGACGGAGAATCTCCTCACGCACCGTCGATAACGTTTACGCCCCCACAGCCACGGGATGGAGACCCTCGTGGAAATCTTGAACAAGTCTCTCCACAAAGTCCAAGTGTTGCGTCCAGTAATTCACCGGGCGCTTAGCGGAACTCAGATATCAAGTCTACACAACGACCCGAGGACCGTCCTTAACGCGGGAACTCTGAAAGACACACTTGAGCATTCCTGCGTTCATCGATATACTTCGTACCTACCTCTTTCGCCTGCTCTTTACAGGGCGGGTAAACAATCGATGTTTTCTTCATGCCTTCCCAGGCTTCGCTTCGTGAGCTCTTGTATATGCGCCAATCTCTACTCACGATCGATAATCGAGCTTCCCAGCTTGGTCACTGGCTCGACTCGTCCATTAGGCCCCATTTCACCATACAGCTCTAGCATTATGACGGGCAACCGCTCTCGTCTTTCCCAGCAGCAGCCTCTCCCGACCATTTGGCTCGGTCAACCCACATCGATTGACTTTCTTTCAGCGTCTCAAGTCTCTCGAAGCACTTGGCGCCTTGTTCGGCGATATGGTCGTGGTGCACTTGACAGACGACGGTCGAGGTATTGTCGAGAGAGCACCGACTGTCTCTGTGACAGTGCATGAGCTGCAGGTGCCACTGATCCCGATCCCGACAAGTCTATTGGATGGCGAGGTACGCAACACCCGTCCCTTGACCTCTTTGAATTCTCTCTATCAAGCCATGCGCTGTTGGAACCCCCAAGTATTTTCAGCCTCGGTGGCGGATGAAGCTCTCGAGGTGTGTTCAAACCGATATTTTGGCTTGAGGATTGTGTATGAATGGATCTCGCACCGTTTCGACAAGGCCACTCCCACCATTACATTTCCACGAGCAGACTGTGATGCCTTTACCGTCGACCTCCTCGCCGGAATCTCTTTCACAACAGCGACGTATCCAAGCGATGATGCTCGACACAGGAGAACACGTCGATCGCGTCGGGCGGCGCAAGTTATGGCTGGGCGCCACAGTGGGCATGCTAGTGTGCTATGCCGTATGGACAGCTCTCTCCGCCCGGTTCTGACGGTCGACGACACAAATATGACCGAAAGCCCGCCGACCGCGAAGCAGGCCACCATTAATCCGGCGGTGGTGGGGAAACGTAAGAGCCAGCAGTCCCAGTCCGAGGATGACAACTTCTACGGCCCTGCCACTGTTGGTGGTGCTGGAAGCCCCTCTAAGGCAAGGCGTTGATTCGATGAATGCGTCCCTGTGCCTTTGCGGCCTGAACCTCCTCACGCCTCGCTCGATGCCACTCCGGTATATATCAGTGGGTCCTCGCTCAATGAGTGGTCAGTATGCTCGAGAGACGTGACAGTAAGGATAAAGCCTTTATTTCCACTGCCTCGTCGACCAACGGACTTTCAGGACACATGGCAGGGCCATCGACAGCCGGTACTCCGAATATGCGTCGAATCACCCTTGCGACGAGGTCAGATTGCGAGATTTCTTCGATATTCGATTGCTAACTGATTCATTTCATTCGTGTGACTAGCAGAACCTAGCCATCCTTCCAGAGCTGGTCACATACAAGAGCCTGTCACAAGAGGATGCAGACAACCACGGCTGTTTGATGACCGAGATGAAGGCGTGGGCTCAAGTCTGCGTGGAGCCGACGAGCCTGGGTCAGATTTCCCTCCATGCCCGGATGAGCTGGGTAGGGATGCACACGTTGCTCGCTGCTAGTACAGCCACCCCGCTGCAAGAGTTTCTGTATCTGTGCGAAAAGCGGCGACCGCGGGCTCTCAAACCCAAAGGTGCGGCCTACCACCACAGACAGCGAGACGCTGGGGAACCTCGATGATTTGGCCAAGACGACTCGAAAACAGATGGAATCCGTGGAAAGAAGCAATGCTGTGCGGACAGATGTGTTGCTGGGAGCGCAAATCGCCGCGAACCGTTACGGTGTTACCAAGGACATGCGTGGCCGGGTGTCGGCGAGGGAGGGAGAGCGGCTGTGCTCGAGTTCAAGGAACTTCTATAACACCCACACGATCCTCATCACCCTGGTACACCTCTTCCAACAAGAATCTAAATGGCCTGAACCACAGCCTGGAATGACCTCGGAGTCATGGCTTGTCGATGCCTGCTGGCGATCACTCACCAGTCGCTGAATGCCATATGAACTTCACACCGGGGGTAATGGGTCACATCGATGATGAAGCAATGTCTTCATTACTACGGATTAGGACCTCTTGCTGCCGTACGTCGCGCCCGACAGGAGGAGAACGATAAACTGGGCTTCTTTGATCTGGGCTTCGGTGAGTTTCTCATGCTTAACGTATGACGACGGACTGGGCTGACCGATACTACTACTTGCCCTTTCACTCAATAGACATACGGATCATGATATACGAGCTCTTGCTGGACCGGGGCAGCCACGTTTGATCATTTCGCGAAACGGATCGGGACCAGACCTTAATCGACTAGAAGGGATCGGACTGGTACCGGGAAAGGCGCTGCCGCTCCACCGGTGCACGACCAAGCCCGCTTTAATGCGTCAGTGGCTAGGTCACTGCGCTGTGAATCGTTCGTATTTCCCCTCGTATGGTGCCGTCAGTAAACTCGACAGTTTGACCATCTGAAGCACTGGTGCAATTGAGACAAAGTCGACAGGGCAGTCGAGAGAATTCACCAAGGGCGAAAATGGCCCTCCGTTATCCTGCTCTCCGTCATCTTGTTCTCCGTCATCTTGTTCTCCGTCATCCTGCTCTCCGTCATCTTGCTCTCCGTCATCTTGCTCTCCGTCATCTTGCTCTTCCATGAAACCGTTGTTGCCGTCAGGCCAGAAGTGTGCATCAGTATCGGGGGTCCCGGGACTCCTAGGATCTCATCAAGGTCAGGGGTCCTGTCAGGGGCGGAAGAAACTCCTGGAGGGTCGGGAGAGGCCTCGATAGCTTTCTCATTGGCATCTGCTAGTTTCCGCAGCTGCTTTTTTCCTGCGTGTACTGTTTAGTTCCATTCAAGCTAACTCAGTTCTTCGCCGGGAAGCCCCATCGAGTGTGGGACTACCTACGCAAGCTGCGTTCAGAAAGGCGTTTTTGTAGCCTTTGGCGTGTTGCGCGGTGTGTGACCAGGGTCCAATCCTCGTTCTCTTGGGCGTGTTGAAGGGACGACCTCGTGCGCTTCCAGTGGTCCATGACGAAGACATGGCCTGGAGTCGATAGCCTGAACGTGTTTACTAGCCCGCCATAATTCTGAGCTCGTCCTTTGACTTGGGTCAGCCGGAAATGAGTCTGCCTGGGACCAGACTGCTTGGTGCGGCGCGAAGCGTCTGGATCGTAGGGATTTTGTGCTGGTCGCGGGCGAAGCTCTCGAAGGACGGACGCCATGGTGGAAAGGATGGTAGACGTACTACCCTCAACAAAGTCCAATTGAGTCCGCAAGGCTCGGGTAGAACCCAAGAGAGAGAGTGTGTGTATGATGGTGAGAATCTGACGTGTGGATATGGGGTACTTGTCTTTGGGAGGGCGAACGCGACGTCTTTACAGCCTCACAACTCGGGCGTCGAAAAAAAGCGGCTTTCCCCGAGAGTCCAGCCACTCACCATCGGCTCCTTACACCCCTTTTTCTTCCTTGGTTTGTTTTTGTCATTTCTCGCTCCCTTACTTCCCCCCTCCGATTGGTAGATTGCTCCCGCAAAACCACTCTCATGTTTCACCGTGCGCGGGCAGTGCAGGCGTGGCGGGCTCGGGGCTCCCTGCATCCAATGAATCGAAGCAAACAATCGGGCGCAAGGCCGCGATGACTCATTTTCGGCCACTCTGACAGGAATTGAGGTTTACAGACAACCACCAACACCAACCACCACACCACTACAGCACCAGGTGGTTAGCCATGGGCTATGGGCTAGCGGGACATCAGGCCCTGAGATATCATGTATCAACCGTAAGAATATCAACAAGGGGAGACAGACAGACTTACACCCCTCTCGCCGCCTCCTGGCGGCAAATCGGCCGACAGCAACGTCAACAGCCTCAAGGGCAGTGTCTGCAACCGTTGACGACCTCGCAGAGGACACTCTAGTGCCACACTGAGCCTGTATTCGGTAGACCTGCACCTGAAGAGGCGAAGGCGAAGGTGAATGGCTCTTGGGACGAATGACAATGCCCCATCTTCCTGTTCATTGACGTGCTGCAACTCATGGTACTGGGTGCGTAGAGGAAAAAGGCGGCGAGGCTTGCTCCCACCGTCCCTCGAGCTCGCACGAAATCAACAGTACGGCCAAACTACTGCAACGTCTTTTTTCATCATCATCATCTTCTTCACTCATTCTTTCATTATTGCCACAGGGAGCAAACCTCTACCTCGAATCGGCAGTACCATTCAGAGACCAAAGAGGTGGGCTGCAGGGAAGAGACCATGATAATATACATCAATACAGGAGGGCGCTCCGGTCCTGGACCACTCTGCTGGACAAGTTACGCTGCATAAGGTCGCTGTGGTCGACAACGAGAACATAAATGTGACTGTCAGAGCGAAAACAGCACCATCAGTTCAGCATAGCTATGGACGCGGTACTTCTTAGGAAACCAATCGCAGATGCTTCAAGGTAGGTCGAGGGCATTGTTCCGAGACCTTGGGAGACGATAACATCGAAGCGGTCTCTAAGTGGTGGTGCACCGCCCAACCCACTAACCACAGGCTAGAGAAGATCGCAAACGCCGTCGGATGACCTCAAGAATAAGGCAAGTTCGCTTACAGAGCCAAGATGTTTAGATCTCGGGAAGTTGGTGTCGTGAGTCTCGAGTCTTGTGGCTGACGATGGTACCAGATATGGACTCGCACGCGGTACTGCCCGGTCCTCATTGCTTCCGACCCTCTCCGACGACGCCCCTTCACACTTGAACACGACCAGCTACGATCTCAAGCAACCTGTTGCATTTTGCTCGGAGCAGCAGCGTGGCTCGTGTGTATCGATGTCCATCGAGTACGGGAGGGCCCACCAAGAAGACAGAAACTACTCAATAGTCAATCAAGAGGAGGCGGTGGTGAGGTTGTCGACAGCATGCTGAAAAGCTGGACAGAGGGTGGTATCTGACGGTTAAATACTCGATTAGATGCTGTCAGCCTCGTGTCAGAAGTTTGTTCATACAGCCAGCCTACTTCGGGATTACATCGGAACGGTTATAAACAAACAAGCCATGCTGATAAGGCAGATCTCTGGGCTGTCGCTCACCGCAACAGTGCTTGTGGTTGACTCTGGCATCACTCGTTTGAGAAAGCAGAAACATGAGAACAAGAGGGTGCACATCGGTCGATGACTGCAAGGCATCTCACAAGGTGATAACTCGATGGTGCCTGATACCGGCTAACAGCCTACAGCATATAGGCTAAGGCCCGACAGTGTAGTGTAGTGGTGTAGTGTCGCCGCCGGTACAGGGCCGAATTTAGCGAGATCAAGGGTATTCTACAGGGCGAGAGTTGGGGGTTTCCCTTTCAGGCGATTTAGGTGACTCGTTCAAAAGTGTCGTTACAACACCGTTTTACCGATTTGAGCGCCTTGGAGGACGCTATCTCGAGCCCTCTCGAACGTCTCCATCCCTCTTGTAGGGTCAATTAGAACTGCTTCTTATTCGAAACCATCCGGGGAACTAAGGGATAGGAGGATCGGGGCTATAGCCGCAGGAATATACAAGTCTGTCTATGGATCTTTACATGGACGACTGATCGAAAGCACCAAGTATACATAGGCTATCTGATCAGGGTATCAGGTATCGGCCATGAGAGTACAGCCTGAAAGAAAAAAGGCCCGCCGCTCACTGTACCACCACCACCACTACTATAATACTATCGGGGCTATGGGCCATGGGCCATGGGCCATGGGCAATCAGGTATTGGCTATGAGAGATCATGTACTAGCTATAAGATATCAGGTATCGGTCAAGGGGCCAGACTCAACTCAGCCAGAGTCCAGGAATTAACGCACCACGCAACCACCAGCAGCTATTGGGCGATCAGGTAGCCATCCCCAGCCAAAGGGCACAAAACTCACATCTCGCGAAAGGTACACTCGTAAGGAATCAAGGTTTACGGATCACCACTAACAGCCAAAGGCCTCCAAGCCCGGGTTTGGTGATGTACAAGGAATGGAATTTGCACCAGCCTATTCCTTCACACCTCAACGGGACAGATCAAGTGGTGGACTATGCGTTTGCAGCTTCAAGGCTGCTGGTGGTAGTGGTGGTTGCGTGTGGCGCTGTTTTGGTGTAAAACCTTAATTCTGGTAGATTGTGCAGGCTGCGCATATGCACACACTCACACAGACATGGTACCTGATAATCAATACCTGGTACATGATATATGACGTTCCAATAGCTAATCCCCAGTATCTCATAGCTAATGGCCCGCTGGTGGTGCGGTGCGGTGTTTTGGTGAAAAACCTTAAAATTTTCAGAGTGCTCTTGGACAGTCCGTGGATGTACACACTCACACACAGCCAGTTACACCTCCTTAAGCTGATAATTAATACCTGATACGTAATATATAATACTCCGATAGCTAATACCTCATATCTCATGCCCCGATAGCCCGCTGTTGGCGGTTGCGCAGTGGTGTAGCTCTCAGAGTGACAGGAATTAAGGTTTACGGGCAAAACACCAGCACCAACAGCCACCACCATAACCAGAGGGCTATCAACCATGGGATTCTCGGTCCTAGTCATCGAACTATCATATATTATGTACCAGTATCAATTATTAGCCAAGAGAGACTGAACTCGTAGTTGCGTGGGTGCGTACATTCACGAGGGTAGGAGGGCACTCTGCCAGCGAGTTTGACAAGAGCCAGACACCAACCGGCACCGACAGCGACAGTGACAACGGCAACGACAGCACCGCCGCTGCCACCACCACCATCACGGTGAGACGCACACATGACGCTGGTTTATTTCCCGTCTGAGGTGGACGAAACCTCAAGTGCAGTGTTGCCAAGAATTCTTCTGTTTTCGGTAGGAGGGCTACCCGATTAGGAAATACCTGGTTTTTGTGACCCGACAAACAATGTTTGTGAAACTTTGAAATAGAGAGTAAATTCAGCCTGCCATGTGACATGCAGCCTTGCTTAGTTATCAAGTAGGGTGGACCACCAAGTGCTGTTTTTACGGCAGAACATGTAAGCCAGTCCCGCCCAAGAACCTTTCTGTTTTCGGTAGGATGATTACCTGATTAGGAAATACCTCGATGTTTTTGTGACCCGACAAACAGTGTTTGTGAAACTTTGAAATGGTGAGAAAATTCAGCCTGCCATGTGACATGCAGCCTCGCTTAGTTATCAAGTAGGGTGGACCGTCAAGTGCTGTTTTTACGGCAGAACATGCAAGCCAGGTCTTGATAGTCACGTACTTCCACAGACACGTTTGACGTTTTTTCATCCTCATCCACATGCCGAAAAGCTCCAAGCTATCGCAGATCTACCTCTACTCGTCTTTGTTCATGGATTGGGTGGCTCTTTACCTCAGTTTGCGCCGCTGCTCGGAAGCTTGGTCAATATAGCTCCGTGTTTCGGCATTGATTTGCCAGGCGCAGTCTTCGTCGACGGATGTTGAGCCTGAGAAGACCGCAGTCGGTTGGTCTACATGAGCAAGAGAAGGGGCAGGGAAACAAGAGGCACGACACAACGACACGATGTTCACCTCATATTGCGAGATTCCTCGCGGACCATGTCGATTTATGCTCCATGTTCCATCTCTGCGAGTCTGAGGAGCATCTGGCCAAGGTACGTCCAAGACTGTCTCTGGCAACACGGTGTTCGATACTAACATGATGCCGTAGGACTGGCCAAACAAGGAGTAGCGAGCCTGCCGCAAGACGCGCCCATATCTGTGCAGCTGGTTGGATATCGATATTGCGATGAAGCATTGGCCAGCACCGCTGCCCGATTTGACTCAATCATCAATGGCACAGCATAGTCAGCGCGATAGATCGTGGTGACAAAGGTCATCTGGCTATGGACTGTCCGACTCGTGAATTCCCCCATCCGCCAGCCGAGCCACCTCGCCCATTGATATTCAAATCTGAGACTTCGTCGGTCGACCCCGAACACCGTGCGCGTCTCACTACCTACCCCTTCTGTATTTGTGTCTCCGGATATTACATATTCTGCGCATATACCGTCAGCGGCTTCAACTTGAATTGAATATCTTCTGATATTTATCCCACTTCATGACTACAAACTCCGGTCTACTATCGAGCTTCATTCCTTCAGACGCGACCATGATCCCGCACCCCCAAAGACTACCTCAGGTACGAGAAGAGAACATGCTGCAACTGTGGCAAGGGGAGATCATATCTGGCTCGAGACTTGCCTCCAAGCGCGAAAGACCACTTGCAAT